ACCCTAAAGCCCTAAGACCCTAAAGTTCGGATTCTCGAGTTCTTAAAACCTTAAGCCCGAACCCTAAATAGAAGTCGAACACCTTGTGGTTTTTCCTCCCCTTGGCGGCGCTCTTCGGCTCTGGCGACACTCAGCTTAACAAAGAGGGTCGGGGTCAGGGTTCTTCAGGGCCTTAGTTCTTTTGTAGTTGTAAAGGGTTGGGCTTCGGGGTTTAGGGTCGTACTACCCCAATAAGATCTTGGGCATTTGAATCCCTAAGGCCTAAACCCTAAAACCCTAACCCCCTAGGACTCCCCCTCTAAGACCCTACAAAACCCGAAACCCGTAACCCAAAACCCTAAAGCCTACTAAAACCTTGCCCCCCTAAGACCTTAAGCCTTAAATCTTGAACCCCTAAGACCTAAACCCTAAAACCCTAACACCCTAGGACTCCCCCTCTAAGACCCTAAAAGACCCGAAAGCCGTAACCCATAACCCTAAAGCCTTAGACTTTACTGCCCCCTTTCGACCTTGAGCCTTAATTAATAAATCTTTAACCATTGAGGCAGAAACCCTAACACCCTAAGACCCTAAGACTCCCCCTCTAAGACCCTACTAAAACCCGTAACCCATAACCCTGCACCCTGAACCCTACCCCTCCGAGGCCTTAGCTTATACCTTAGATTGTGAACCCGTAAGATCTAAGCCCTAAAACCTTATTAAGACCTTAAGATTGGTCCCCCTCTAAGACCCCACTAAACCCATGACCCTAGACCCTAAACCCTTAGCCCCCCGCTCCCACCCTGCCCAGGACGCCTTTGTTTTATCAGGACCGATGGATGTGGACCGCCAGACAAGGCGCGGGACTCGCAAAGAGTCCATGGGGGGCTGTCCGAAAGGACGCCCATGCGGCTGAGGCTGTTCGATAAGAACGGCCTTGGCCTCAGAAGCCCGATGAGGGCTGATGGAGCCTGCCGTAGTGGCAGATGGCTCCAACCCCCCCCCTCTCCTGGGGGCCCGATCCCTCTTCTAGCCCGTAACTAGACGACCCGATAAGGGTCGTGCAGCCCGAAAGGGCTGCCACGATGACTGACATAATAAAGTCGGTCATTGTGTAAAGGCCCAGGCTCGCTAGTCGTAGGACCGATTGAAGGCCCAGTAGACTAGATAGATGGTAGGTAGTAGGCAGGCCCAACTTGGATCGGGAGAGCGGCGAAGAATGACCGAAAGAAGATGGCATTCGTCTGATAAAGACCCGCTCAAGATCTCGATCAATGTCATGAGCATCCAAAGTAGGTCGGGTGGCAGACTCGATTCGGAAACAGCGTGGTGCTGCGTGCCCTTCTCCGTGATGCCAGTGCACCGAATGGCTCCCTGATACTGGGGGTGGGACCGTGCTTGCACGTCTCGGCATTGTCACTCGGGGTCGGAAAATCGCAGTGCCCAGATGCCCGATAGAGACTCAAACTCGTCCGAAATGGAATCTTCAGTGACTAGTTTAGTAGGGCGACCCCTGGCACCCCCTAGGACTGCCCGACTGAGGTTCCAGGACTGACCGGGAGGGGCCCAAGACCCTTAAACCCTCAACCCCACTGGGGTGCGTCGGGTAGGGTTTCGGGGATTCTCGGCCATTCGGACTTGTGGATTTTTGTTGATTGAAATTGCTGCTGTACTGTTGCAGTCCGGTTCAAATTTCGTCGGGATTATTGTTGACTTCGAGGGCCGAGGGTCCAGGTTTCAGAAGTTCGTGTTGTTATTGGGTCCCGACCCTAAGCCCCTAAACCCTAAACCCCGAATCCCTAAGCCCATAAACCCCTGGACATTGAGCTAGGCTATGGGTGGGCGAGTGGTAGTAATGTGCCTGTGCATCTGAGGACACCTTGCATGGCCTGGCGATGGATGGCTGGATGGATGATGATGACGGCGCGATGCCGCGTGGATGCACAAATCCTTTATTTGATATTATCATTGTCATGAACTGACGGTCATGCNNCTGTTCCTGGCCAAGGTCCTCCGCTCCTGCACGATGGAGATGTACGGTCGCTTGGATGCCTTAGAGTTGGATTCGGTTCCTGTAGCTCCTTTCGACGTATCAAAGGAAAATTCTCTGGCGATGGGCAGTCGCTTGGATGCAAATTTATAACAATTGCATTGGTTCGGTTCCTTAGCTCACGTCGGTGTGTATGATGGCAAAGGACATGCAGCCAGTCATCGACCTGGCGATGGCAGACCGCCGCTTGGCATTGAAATAGTAGCCAGTTCTGATTACAGATTATTATGTGTGGTATTCCTTGCCAAAGGATAGTACATGGCCGCTGCGATTCTCGAGCAGGCGGAACCGAACTGTCACTTGGATGCAATTAGACAGAGACAGATAGCCTCGTATACACCATATTTGCGAAGGATTCGACGTGGCCTATGCTGTACTGCCGGAGCACGGGGCGGCAGGCGGCCGCATGGATGCAACATCAGCATATGATCTTAAATCAAGTTTGTGCAGCTCGTTTGTGGCGTGCGTGGCAAAGGTCGTCAGTTGGTGTGCGTCACCCAGCAGGCCTTGTCAGTGATTTTGATGTCGTGCGACTGCTAATTCTATGGTCTGCTGAGGCCCTGATGTGGCGTTTGATGGACGATGCGAGCTTGAAGGCCCCTCGCTTTTTTGTCATTGTTTGATCTTAGCATTCCTGAAGTTGGCACTCAATCGCATGCATTATCGTCGTGCTGCTCGCAGATCGATGGGTCAATCAGAAGCCAGCACAGTGGCTTTCAGATAGGCTCTTTGCCCCCGCCATGTCGAAATCAGATGAAGACGAGAGGAAGCGGCAGGAGAGGCTGGCGATTACCTTCGGCCTTTTGGCAGGGGACCCCGCGGCGCCCTGATTGCAAGAAGTTTATCGAATCACTCATCAAACTTTATTATCGACACCTCTTGGTCCGGCTGAGGCACAAGCCAAATTGGGGGAGGAGGCCAGGCAGGCCTTCCTGAACAGCCAGCACTACACAGCGACAGGCGAGGGAGACCTGACGAAGGCGGGGTCGCTGACGAAGGCGGCCCATGTCCCAGTGGTGAATCATTGGCAGGTGAAGCAGGTGATCGGAGAAAAGGCGCCGCATTTGGAGTACCTCTGCTCCGTGTTGCGGTGCGATGACCTGAGTTGGTGCGTATCTCGGAAGCATTGGAAAGACAACAGTCGATTCAAGGAGGTGCTTGTGTCTTGTATCCGAGTCGATAGCGGCGTTGCTCCACCATTCCCCGCCGGGGGCAGCCTTCGCCCACTCGTTGACGCCGAAATTGGTCCGACAGGCAGATGGCAACATGACAAACCTTCATCTTATTTAGGGTTAAGGGTTTGTGTCGCACTTGCAGGTTCTGTTCCACCGGCGGAACTACCGGTTCAAGAAGAATAGAAAGATGTTGAACCCATCGGCCCTCATCGCGAAGCACTGCAGGGAGAAGATCCACTTCTTGAGCCGCCAGCAAGCATTGGACTAAAACATTTTTCAATGCCGCTGCTGCATAGTGCCGGTGCCTGGCACACTGAGATGAAAGTGGGGTCTACGGCACCAAGCCATGGAGGAACCCGAAGGAAGGCGAGGAGGACAGAGGCTTCAAACTTATATTTAATAGCTAATTTTAAAATCAAAGAATAGCACTTAACTGAGTGATATCACGTCGGTATATATTTATTAATAATAGTAGCAATCACCCTCTCCATCCATCCGTCCATCCGTCCATCCATCCATCTATCTATCTA